GCAACCCACTGCCACAGGGGCTGCAGCCTACGCCATCGCTGGCGACTCATGGCAGCCCAGCTCCAGGTTGAGCTGTTGTTCAGTATCTTAGCTGTGGAGGGCAGTGTCACTGGCCCTCATATGTGGGATCCGAACCGGGGTCCTCTAGAGTCCCAAGCGAGTTCTTAACCATCGCGCCACTCGGCTGGCCCTAAGGATTCTTTTTTTTAAAAAACATAGATCTCATTGGAGTTAGTAACTTCTTAGTATTATAAAATATCCAGATAGTGTTGAAATATAAATATGTGTGTGTGCATATATATTATTGTTTAGTAGTATTTAAAAAATGACTGTTGTTTTTATAAAAATGATGTATATTTGTTTCAAAAAATCCAAGCAACACAAAAAAGTAAAAAAAAAAAAAGAGAACAAAAATAGCACCCTGAATCCATTAGGGGAACATCATTTCAATTCCGACACCTCCATGCACATGTTCACATGGAAAAACAAGTAGAAGATGGGTAGAAATGCTGTCAGAAATACTTTTTTGTATTAAAAAGGAATCACAGGGTAGTATTTCAGAGCTGAAAGGGCACCTAAGGCTCTTTAGTATTTGCATAAGACTTGGTGAGACTGGAAACCCCCTGAGGGCAGGGACATGCCTTAGTTACTTACCCTCCCCATCATCCAGCTGGCATTCATGCAGTCAAAGCTGTGGTTTGAATTTGAAGGGGCCATTAAGAGATCACTCAGTCATCTTTATGCAATAGGGTGGCCCACAGTTGAAATCATTTGCTGAGATCCCACAGCTAGGTAAGTGGGGCACACATGGAACTGGAGTCCCGTTTCACTGCTTTTTCTCTAGCCCTTTGGAATGACCTGTGTAGCAAGGTGGCTCAGTGCACAAGCTTGGAGTCAGACACATCTGCGCTTGATTCCGCTCTGAATCTTTTTCCATGACTTGGTAGCTGTGTGACATCTCTTACCCACACAGTTTACCTACCTCAAAGGGCTGTGTGAAGAGTAAACGAGATAATGCCTAAAAAAACTCAGTAGCATAGTCCCTAGCACGTACCAGGTGTGAAATAAATGTTAGCTGTAATTGTTCTTATTTGTAGTAATAGCAGCAGCAATAGTAATAGTATCAGCATTTTCTTATTCTCTTGGAATTGTCAGCTAGAGTTCAAAGACATCTCAACCCTCCCCACCCCCCTCCACTCCCCTCAGGTTCCCAGGTGCAGGTGGAACCCAGTTTATAGCTTTGATTTTTGCTTGCTTTTTGCCATTTGGAAGAAGATTATATCATGTAGGAATTCTTTTCCTGTATTGCGTCAGCTTCTGTTTGGCGTTTGTGGTGGTCAAGGTTCGTGTGTCTTCTTTTAACATGTGGTTTAGTGGTGCTGCCTTAACAAAAGCTTTGCAAATAATTATTCTAAACTCTTCAAATAGACACCCTGGGCAAAGGGCTGGGTGCAAGACGTCTGGCCTTCCTGGTCGCCCCTTCAGTCTGCTGACTCAGCAGCTCTTCCAGGGCCCTCCTCCAGGCCCTGGGTCTGTCAGGTCACTAATGGAATCTGCTGGAAGCAAATTAACTCATGAAAAAAGGGCTAACAAATCACTCCGGCTGTTGGTGTCTGCCCCAGGATGGCTGGCACGTCCCCATTCACTCACAGGTCATCACCCCCACATTTCATACCTCTCCTGGGGAGCCCCACTTTCTCTTTCATGGTTACTGAGGAACATACAGGCTGTGCTGGAATCTCAGCCCCCCCATAGCAGAGGGATGGCCTGTGCATGTGAGAAGGCCATCTGTGCAGCCTGACACGCCCTCCCGTGTGGGAGGCCTGAGAGCTGGCTCCATGCATTATTCACATGGGTTGGCTTTACCATTGGCTCTAAGTCAAGGGTGGGAGAAGGAGGGGAGGTCGAGGAAGAGACAGCTATACTCTTCAGCCTGGGCATAGTCTCTCCTCCTTCCCCAGTCAAATGTGTACTGTTTTCAAAATGTTGTCTCCTGTGAGGTGGGATCCATGCTCCACCTGGGTCTGTCCAGTTCAGGATTTGGGGGGCCTTCACAAAGAAGACTGGGAAAGGCTTGCTTCCAGAAGTGCCAGGGGGCCACTGTGATCTCCTTCTTCTGTTGTGTTTCCCCCTCTTGCCTTCTTCACAGTTGCCTCATGGATTCTTGAGTAAATTGAGGGTGTTCTGGTGTGTGTGTGTGTGCGCGTGCGTGCGCTGCTGGCAATAACAGTGATAAGAGAAGAAAAAAAAGATGTTTTGCTTCAGAGAGAGGGACCTGAGGAGAAGATTTTGTGGCATTCGAGAACCTCTAGCAGCATCCTGTGTGCCTGCAGAAGGGAATTTGAGTAATGGAATGGGAGTACGGCGGTAACTGATAGTATGTCTGGGGTGGAAGGACCCATGGACATCCTCCACCTTATTCTGTCAAGGAAGAAAGTCTGTGTTATTACTTGTGATGGCCCAAAGAACAGGCCACGCCATAGTATGGATAGACACTCATCCATACTTGTTTCTGTCCTTCCTTCCAATTCAGCCAGCTCTGTGATAGCAGTGATTCATCTAGATCAGTGGTTCTCAACCTTCCTAATGCCGCGACCCCTTAATACAGTTCCTCATGTTGTGGTGACCCCCAACCACAAAATTATTTTTGTTGCTACTCTATAACTGTAATTTTGCTACTGTTATGAATCGTAATGTAAATATCGTTTTGTTTTCCGNGGACATCTGCAAGCCGCAAGAGCTGTGGCTTTGAAAGGGGCCACAAGTTCTACCATGCTATTGGTGGTTCTCGCCATGCAGCTTGGAGAAGGTGCAGTACTCTCCAGATCCACCATTACTGCTAATATAAGCAATGGTTGTAAAATTTTTACCTTAATAAAGTTTCAGCAGTCAAAAATAAACAAAAAAGAGGAGTAGTGCCAACTATATGCCAGGCATACTAGCTTGCTGAAGATGTTAACACAAGAGGACTGAAATGATTTTTGCCTTCTGGAGCTTATAGTCAATGGGGGAAAGTCATGCATGCATTTTTATTAGAACAGTAAAATCCACAACTGATATGAGAATAGACCCTATATCTTGATGAATAAATTAAAATCTTTACTCATGACACTCACTCTATTTCTATTATTGCAATAAAGCAAAAAATAAAATTGAAAATGTTTGTGGTTTTAGCAAGTTGAATATATGTATGTATGTATATATATATATTTGCCAAGAAATTTGATTTGGAAGTCATTGTGCACCACTCGGCATAAGTGATTCACCAAACAATGCTTAATGTTTTCTTATGACCAAGCATTCACATAGGAGGTCCCTGGTTATATTATCAAGGTCATATAAGTCATTCTTGGCAGGAAAGTCTTGTTTTTAAAAACTGCTACAATTATGTCTGCTAGTAAAACTTTACCAAGTTCAACCAAAAGTGGATGAGAAACTTTTGTTTTTATAGCAGAGGCTATAAAAACTCTGCTATGAATGTGGCATCGGGTGGCCCTGGAGTGCTGAGGCCAGATATCCTGTCCTCTGCCACTATGTACTTACCTAGTGGTCTTGAGTCATTTTGGTCTTTGTGTCCCATGAAATGGGAAACTGGCTTGGGGTGGGTAGTTGGGTGATATGCTCTTTCTTGGCACTAGATCACATCTTTCCTTATTTTGGACAAGATCCCAGGTGATTCAGGGATGTTTTGGAGACTATACCCCTGACCTTAAATCTTAGAGGGTTGAGGAGATGACATATCTGTAGTAGCTCCTCTAGCATGAAAATTCTGTGAAGGTGGCAATTTTGTCTTGTGTACCACATCCCTAGCACCTGACTCAGTGCCTGGCACAAAGTTGGTGACTGGCAGTATTTGTTGAATGAAAGAATGAACCGAGCCCCCCACCAGTGAAGCTGTTTTGTCTCTAGAGCAAACAACCTGATAGTAGCTGACTCTGAACCGAGGTGTATGGGTATATTGCTCAGGTCCGTACTCTGTCCCTTGGGCAAGGGTAAAGTTAGAGTTGATGCAGGATTTTTTTGATGTGTGATTGTGTGTGTACCGGGATTGGGGTTTCGTGGAACCGAAGAATGGAGACACGGACCAGAGAGGTAAAGTTTCAGAAAAGGACAGTTTATTAGAAGAAAAAATACATTTCAAAGAAGCAGAAGTGGGCCCGAGCTGTAGAGAATGGCCCATGCACCATTATTAGAAGAGAAAGTACACTCCAAAGAGTTTGGAGCGGGCCGAGCAAAGGAAGCTGAAAAGGCCTGACTGGCCAGGGCTTGGAGTTTCTATCCTTTTTTTCTCTAGAATGAGCTGTTCCTCTCTAGGTGTGGGACCACTTGATTGACACCTGTGATTGACAAGAGGCTATTACCTCATCTTTTTAGACTGCTCATGTTCCTTTCCAGAATTTCCAGAGTTCCTTTCCAGAATGATATTAATGAACATCCGGGCATATGTATGATATTGTAATGGTGGTATATGAGGCCCAGGTGAAATGAAGGTCATTATGGCCTTTACTGCTCAGGAGTGAGTGACTGGTCTAATCCAGTCGAGTGTTTTGTACCCATTTGTTTCCCTGTAGGGGTAGATAATTACAATGAAAAGGGGAAGTTTTGGGTGGAGAGGAGAAGTCATTTGGACAGTCCCATTCTGTGGAATGTGAAGGAATGCAGAGACCTAATGTTTGCCTCTAATTGCCTGCCTTATTTTCCCCTTGAGAGACGTGATCCCCATAAAATCTCTATGGGAAGTTGAGGGACAGGAGTTCTTTTCTTCTATAGAGTTGTCCCTGCCTATTTGGGGGATTCACGGAACTCTCACCCTGTCTGATCTCAGATGAGAGGAAGGGTCTCAAGATCCACCTGGAAGACTGTGTTGGCTTCTTTAGTTGCCACTGGCAATCTTGCTAGGGTGTCATGTGTATTCCCAAGGCTCCTAAATGAGGAAAAGTAGATTTTAATTAATAAATGTCTTAAAGAGCAGAGTTCAAAGCTATTGATGTTGGGTGGCTATGGGTTTGGAAAGAACATTAGGCTTTAATGTTTACAATCAACAAGTATACTGGCCTGGGGAAATGTTAAAATCTATTTAGTCTCTGGGATGGGATTATCCAAGAGTTAAGGTGTGGAATGGTTTGGGGAATGTTGAAAAGTCACAGGCTTTTAAGTAGTTATCTAAAGCCAGGGTGGGAGATATTCTGTGATCCAGTCTAGGGGCAATCTTTAATCTAGGATTCAGAAGCTGATTGGAAGAGTAATCCAAGCCAGGGGCTAAGGAACTAAGAAACTAGGGAAGAGGAGACCTAAAATTTCTATAGGAAAGAAAACTTAAAAGTTGTCTAGTGGTGAGGGGGGCGCTACTCGGTTGGCCCATACCAGAGTGGCTTGGGTACCAGAATGTACCAACAGACTTGATGGATGATTCTAGAAGGTTTTGGGGAATGTGAGAGAGTGAGGAAACCACAGAAGACAAACTGATAGTGAAAAAGAAGAATTAGTTAAGGATGGTGAAAGGTTGAGTAAAAAGGTTGCCAACTCTGGGCTTAGCTTAGGTTTTGGGAAATATTGCTGCGCTCTTGGCCTTGAAGGGGGAACCCTCTTTCCTTGTAATATTTTGGAATATTTCAAACATACATAGTATAATTAACCCTCATATATGCATCACTCAGCTTCAACAATTAGCAATTTACAGACAGTCTTGTGTCACCTATAGCCTACCCCTACCCTCCCACACCAGAGAGTGTTTTGAAATAAATCTCAGACATCATTTTGTCTGTAAATATTTCAATATGTATCTATAAAAAATAAGGATTCTTTTTTTTCTTAATTGGGGAATTGGGGGGATGGGGACAGTGCTGGGGAATTGGGGGAAGGGGAACAGACAAGTTGCTGTCATTTTGTTCTTCAGTCTAGTTGTGGAGGACGTTGCTTCACTGGCCTAAGTTGGCAC